AAAAATCTATTTCAAAGTTGCATGCTGGACAACTTTGCTCTTGTTACATTGTGCAATATCTGACCAATGATGTTAACCAAAACGATTGTTCAAAACCACAGTTAGAATATCATTGATCGGGGTTAGTTTTGAAAAATCATTTTGGTTAATATCTTTGATCGCATAATGCAAACTTATCGAGGAACAATTTTGCAATTTAATTGATAACTCACATTTTTGTAAAACACTTAACGTAAAAAAAACTAAATGTCCAAAACTGAGCTCAAAAATTGAGTCGTAACAAAACGTTGATTATCAAAAAGTCAATGATACAAAACGTCGAATACTAAAAAACGTCAACTACTACAAAACGTCGATAGTTATAAAATGTTACAATAGGTTGGTTAGGTTAGGGTAAGACAATTTCTGGGCCAAGCGCTGCAGAATTACCTAACCTAACCAAACGTTTTGCAGCAGTTGATGTTTTGTGATTTCGACGTTTTGTAATTTCGACGTTTTGTTATTTTCGACGTTTTTATCAGTAGACGCTTTGTTATTTTCGACGTTTTGTAGCAGTCGATGTTTTGAATTTTCGACGTTTTGTTATTCGACGTTTTGTTATTTTCGACTTTTAGAAGCAGTCGACGTTTTGTATTTTCAATGTTTTGTTATTCGACGTTTTGTTAATTTAGTCGTTTTGTAGCAGTCGACGTTTTGTATTCTCGTCGTTCTATTTTTTGACGTTTAATAGCAGTGAACGTTTTGTATTTTCGATGTTTTGTTATTCAACGTTTTGTATTTTCGACCTTTAGTTATTCGAAGTTTTGTTATTTTTTGACGTTTTGTAGCATTCGACGTTTTGTTATTCAAAGTTTTGATAATCGACTATTTGATAATCGACATTTTGTACCCACTCCTATAACAAACCTTTGATTGAAGACAGATAATCCAATTAGCATCATCATAACAGTATCAAACTGACACCACCTGATTAAACACAGTAAAATTTTCTTTTAAAGATAATTTTTTTAAATCGCTTTTTTCAAAATTCAAGACAAAATTCCACGTGCAACGCCGGGCACTTCAGATTGTAGAACTTTAAAGAGAGTAAAAAAGTTTGTTTGTTTAATGTTAGGACAGCTTCTTAACTATAGTTTTATTGTAAAAAAAACCCAACATTTAGTGAACAGTTATTTCCAAGATTGGCCCTTTTGCTTGTTTTTAATCCGTTTTATTGTTCTAAACACCTATAGACTGTCATAATACGTTTTATAAAAAAGCCAAGGTTGTCGACCTGTTCTTAGTTCTTGATACTGTCATGAATCTTTACACCCACGTAAACGAGGCTAAGGAGTCAATGTGTCAAGAAGTATCAAGTTGTCAAAGACTCAAGGTGTCAAGATGTCAAGTAGTCAATGTGTCAAGAAGTGTCAAGAATTGTCAAGGAGTCAAGCAGTCAATGTGTCATGAGGTGACAAGGTGTAAAGAGGTGTAAAGGTGTCTAGGACTCAAGGTGTCAAGGATTTAAGATGTCATGTAGTCAATGTGTCATGAGGTGTCAAGAGGTGGCAAGGAGTCAAGGAGTAAAGGAGTCAAGGTGGCAACGGGTCAAGAAGTCATTGACTGAAAGTGTCAAGGTGTCAAGGAGACAGCGAATTAAGGTGTCAAGGAATCAGGTTTTTCAGCCTTCAGTCTTATAGTCGTGCTTCTCTTAATCTTCAAGTTTTTATTCATTGCCAAATTATTAAAGCACTAGATCTTTAATAGTAAAAGTAACAAGTCTGAATTCAACCTTTGTCTCATTAAAGTCTTAGAACAGAAAGATGGAAACTCTTATATTGTAGCAGTCAATGGTTATCCGGTATCTATTATCTTGTTTAAACAAACTAAACTCTTATATTGTAGCAGTCAATGGTTATCCGTTATCTATTATCTTGTTTAAACAAACTAAACTCTTATATTATAGCAGTCAATGGTTATCAGTTATCTATTATCTTGTTTTAATCAAACTAAAATCTTATATTGTAGCAGTCAATGGTTATCCGTTATCTATTATCTTGTTTTAAACAAACTAAAATAATATGCATCCAGATTTATTACACCAACATATTTTGTAACTGCTCTACAATATTTGTAACTGCTCTCCAATATTTTGTAACTGCTCTACAAATTTATTCATTTTAACGAACATTCTAAATGTCTTAATGCTTTATATTAGGCTCAAATTTCGCGAAAATGGTTTGTCAAAATAGTTTGCGAAAACATAGGGTTTTCATTTAAAGTTCAAAAATATTTTCGAAAAAGTAGGATTTAAAATAAAAGTTCGAATAATTTTAGCGAAAGTCAACAAACACTTTCGTTTTCATTTTCGATGGCTGAACGAACATTTCCCGAAACAGATTGAACGAAAAATTATAAAATGACAATGTAAACCTGTCTCTAAAGAATTATAAAATGACAATGTAAACCTGTCTCTGAAGAATTATAAAATGACAATGTAAATCTGTCTCTAAAGAATTATAAAATGACAATGTAAATCTGTCTCTAAAGAATTATAAAATGACAATGTAAATCTGTCTCTAAAGAATTATAAAATGACAATGTAAACCTTTCTCTAAAGAATTATAAAATGACAATGTAAACCTGTCTCTAAAGAATTATAAAATGACAATGTAAATCTGTCTCTAAAGAATTATAAAATGACAGTGTAAATCTGTCTCTAAAGAATTATAAAATGACAATGGAAACCTGTCTCTAAAGAATTATAAAATGACAATGTAAATCTGTCTCTAAAGAATTATAAAATGACAATGTAAACCTGTCTCTAAAGAATTATAAAATGACAATGTAAACCTGTCTCTAAAGAATTAAAAAATGACAATGTAAACCTGTCTCTAAAGAATTATAAAATGACAATGTAAACCTGTCCCTGAAGAATTATAAAATGACAATATAAATCTGTCTCTGAAGAATTATAAAATGACAATGTAAACCTGTCTCTAAAGAATTATAAAATGACAATGTAAACCTGTCTCTAAAGAATTATAAAATGACAATGTAAACCTGTCTCTAAAGAATTATAAAATGACAATGTAAACCTGTCTCCAAAGAATTATAAAATGACAATGTAAACCTGTCTCTAAAGAATTATAAAATGACAATATAAATCTGTCTCTGAAGAATTATAAAATGACAATGTAAACCTGTCTCTAAAGAATTATAAAATGACAATGTAAACCTGTCTCTGAAGAATCCTCCGTCCTTCTTCATAAATCCACGTTGCCTAACTTTTATTATTATCTCCAGGCAGAACACAATAAAGCAGAACCAATCCCAGAAATATGTTATCAAACTGAAATATGTTATCAAACTGAAATATGTTATCAAACTGGAATATGTTATCAGACTGAAATATGTAAATTATAAAATCATAAGAGTATATGAGAATTTAATGCATATAAGTTATCAAGATAAGAGTTAATTTTAAAAAAATTGTAATTTATTATACGTGATCTTTGCATGTTTTATAAAAAAAATGTCGAAGATTTTTTTTACTTTGACGATCCATAAATCTTCGATGAAATTTTGATCCTCCATAAACATTCCCCGGGGTCCAGTGAGGACCCACGATAAAGGAACTGAGTTTTTGCCACAAACTCAAATTGTATTATCCCTATATCTTTGCAACCTTAGATGGTATTTAAAGAATTTGAGCCGCGGTTTAAATCTGCCAAAACCCGGTTTGAATTAAGCGCCGGCTAAAATTTTGAAACATTTGATACAATTTTAAGTGGAACCAACCATATTTTTAAGCCGCGGCTTAAATTTAAACCGCAGCTCAAATTCTTTAAATTCAGCCACTGATGGTGTAAACCTTTGATATTTCAAACTTAGATTATTTGGTCTAATATGGTTCATAGTTTGAAATATCAATTGGGTCATACAACATTAGGTTGTAAAGTTATAGGGATGAGAAAATCAGAGTTTGAGACAAAAACTCAATTCCTTTGGGTCCGATCGGTTCAGCCGTTTTGACATTTTTTGCATGCATACAGACACAAAACAGGGTATCTATATATACTTTGTTTGTTTGTATCCAATAAACGTCAAAACAGCTCAAACGATCTGACCCAAATTTTGCGTGGGACCACACATGACCCCGGGGAATGTTTATGGATGACTAAAATTTTAAAAATTACCCTTCAACAAAATTTGATTTCATAAAATTTTTTAAATCCACAAATTTTTCTCACAAAATCCGCAAACTTTTTATGTTATTTTTAGCAATGTATACAAGGAGAAAATGTTGAATAGAACATTGGCGCCCTGTAAGCCTTGTATAATGTATATATAGAAGCTAGGAATACTGACCTAAGTTTAGGAAAGTTGGCGAATGATTGAGGTGTATTGCAGGATACTGAAACCAATGAGAGGAGAGAAACAAACTGAAGAAATCTTCGTCCCCATTTTCTGGAGAAAAAAAAACTATCAAATTATTTTTTTAATTGCTTGGGTGATCCACGAACAACAACAAGAAAATGGAAACCCAGAAAAAATAAAAATGTCAAATACTTGGAGCTGATATCATCCAATTTATAGAATTTGTTAAGATTTATGTTTAAACACGATAAACATGTTTTAAAAAATATTTCTAATTGCTATTTGCTAGCACAAAAAGTTTGGAAAATATATTTTTTTTCTTTCTTTCCTTTCTTATTTCCCATTAATGTCTTTTCTTTATTAGATCATTTATCTAATTACTATAGATTAAATTACTTACAAGACTTACTTTCAAGATTTGATAATTGAAAGGACTTTTTAGTAAAAACTAAACTAAAGATCTTAAAATTGCATTTTTGAAAAATAGTTGTCTCCATTTTTTACAATTTCTTTGAACCTCCATAGCATTGAAGCTCCAAAAATTTACGCCTGAAAAGATAGCTTCTATGAAACACTGGCTTGTGTAAAAAAGTTTATTAAAAGCTGACATCAAGCGCAATATCAAGAGACTCTCCATGAAAAGATTTTGTACATGCCCGATTTACAACGGTACCCATGAAACTTTAATCTAATCAAAAATGTGAACGATGCCGTAGCTTTTCTGACGCGAAAAGTGTTTATTTCTGTGAGTTTCTCCATTGCTTATTATAAGAAAGAAAGGCACTTTAGCAGTGAAACCACAAATGAAAATTAGCAGTTTAGAGAAACAAAAACGTTGATATTTAATTCATACTTGATCAGACAAAGCTTTCAAGATTACCGTTTTAAATCGAGCAATACCATCTTTGCTCGGAGGATCAATTGAAATAACGCTTACAGTCCCTTTAAATTACTTGTTCATCCAGTCCCTCTCCTCTATCTCTACTCCTGCCTCCTCCCCGAAGTCTGTAAGTAGAAGGGAGTGCTCCCCCACAACACTCATTTTACGCCCCAGCATCACGCCGGTCACACTAGACCTAGGAAGTACAGGGTTACCCGCAAAGACTTCAGAGACGACTGTACATAATTTATACTGTCTGTTTCCTTATAATAATGAATTCAAGGCAGTAGACTTGATTTAACCCCGGAATTTTTTAATTCATAGAGTTTTAGGTTTTCGTTACAGTTTAATTTTTAGTGTGTAACACTGTAAAAACATCGTAGGGTTTCTATTCTTTGATAAATTTAATATAAATTAAAAGAAAGAAATATTGTTGTAAAGCACTAAAGGACAGTTTTCAACTTAGATAAGGTTAAAAAATATTTTTTTTTATGAATTAAGAATTCTTCTGAAAGAAAAAGTAATGTTCCTACATAGACTTAAAAAATTAAAAGTTGTAAATTAAGAATATTAAATGCCAAAATTTTCGCTTGAACAATAAAACCGGTAATATTGTCATGATTATTTTTTTTTTTGACGCAAAAGAGTTGAATACTCGCCCCAAACTTTAGTGTTCAAATCCTAATAATTGTTGCAAACTAATGTTGAAGACCTTTGATATTTCAAACTACGAAATATGCTTGATGAAATTTGAAAGATCAAAATGTTAGAGGTTTTCACCATCAGGTTGCAAAGAAAAAGTCATTGGAAATTTTTAAACAAGGAAATATCAAATACTAGTATAGTTTTACATCACAGTAAGATAACTACTAGTTTAAAAACTGATTTTATAAAAATATTGGTTTGTTATTTAGGGACGGACAAAACGGTTATCTACAAAAACATACTTACTACTTCATTAGTTCTACAGAATATCATTAAATTTTATAATCCCCTGAAACCAAAAAAAAACTCTAATTCCAATCTGAAAAAAACATCAAAGTGGAACTTATGACATATTTGTTAAAAAATCAAATAAAAGAGTTAAAAACTGATTTTTTATGAAAAGGAAAGAACTTGTATGATGAAATCATACTGAACAAATGTCAAAGAAAAACACATGAAAAAACTACAAAAAAATGAATTTTACAAGCTCGAATAGAAACTTTATACATATTTAATTATATACATCATTAAAAATTAAATAGTAATATTGTTTCTAGACCCAAAAGTGATTACTTTATCTTACCTTCTCGAAGATTACTCCAAAATTCTTCTTTTCTTAATTGATCTCCTTCAACTTTTTAATTAAACTAAAACAGTCATTTGTTCAAGAAAAATATATTCACTAATATATTTCACTTTTTAGACTGCGTTGTGCGTAAATACATTAAAAATCACAAATCCAGGGAAAAAGATATCGTACAAATTTCTTATGCGCTTTAGTTTCAAATGACCCTCCATGCAAAATGTCAATGCCCGATTTACAACAGTACTCTTTCAATAAAATGATAAAATTGCAACATACAACTTAGACCGTAAAAAAATCAAATTAATTTCAAACAAATCATTCCGATATTACAACCTATAGTCATCGATTATCTTTCGCCACATTTGTATATAGTTTATATTTTATAATATTTTTAAACTAATTTGTTTCGAATTTGATTATTTCTCTTGTCGATTGCGCAACTAATAAAGAATGCCGCGAACCACTCACATTTTTCGAAATCCGTTAAAAACGTTTTCTAAAAAATTAAAACATAAAAAATTAATTTAAATTGTTGTATGTTGCAATTTTCTCAATTTGTACAGACGCTAAGTTATTCGGTATGAGACGTTTTTAACAATTTTCTCCTTATAGACGCAACAGCTAGAAGTAAGATTAGTAGCGATCAAAAGAGCTTTTTTATCGCATTAAGCCTATACCCCCTTTAATTTTTCGCGAACACTCCCTTTAAATTTCTAAAACTGTTTATTTATGCTTGCGGTTTCTTTGCGGTCTTCGACATTTTAGATCAGATGAAGGTTTTATAGGTACGTACCGTTGTAAACATGGCATTGTCATCTTTGAATTGAGGGTCATGCATGAAACTTACAGTCCCAATTGTTTCTCCATGACAAGTGATTTTTACTTGACTTCTCTCCGTGTATACAAATATTCCAAAGAGTATAAAGCTTTCTCTCTCATGGGCCGGCCATCGCTTAAAAATTATTTTACTTTTCAAAAAAGCATAAATTTTTGAAGCTCACAAAGTGTTCCTTAATTAAAATAATAATATGTCCGATGCACAACGGTCAACGGTGTCCTTTCTTAAACATGTTCCCTCGCGATTCTATGAGAACTTAAAAAAAAATTTAATATCTTAAAAGCGATGGCCACAATTTGGCTCACATAGTGTAGATTTGTTAAAAAAATAAACACACACAAAAATTTAAGTTCTTATTATTGTCTAGGTTCATTTAAAAGTAAATTCAACATTTTAACAATTTTTAAGTATTACAAATTTCTAACATGTTCATTTTCATGATGTTCAAGACCATTTCTACTTTGCTGAATTTTTAAGATTTAATAAATAGACAATTTCCCTATTTTTTGCACACACATACATTAAACATTGAGCTATAAACAGACAATCTAAAAACAATTCTAATTTTAAAAATATTTTATTATATGAGAGAGGGTCTCATAACATACCGGGGCTGGGCTGCACAGTACATTTTGTCTGAAAAAAACCCTTATAAATAAACTGGACGAAAAAAGACTTTAATCCAGCAATCTGCTTGAAAAATGGGATAAAAACGACCTTCAAAATTATACAATACCTATCTAATCCCTATATCTTTGCAACCCAATGTCGTATAAATTACATATTTCAAACTATGAATTGAATTAGATCAAATAATTTAAGTTTAAAATGTCAAAGGTTTACACCATCAGGTTGCAAAGATATAGGGATTAGAAAGTTTTAGTTTATGGCAAATAATCAAATACTTTATTTTAGCATAATATGCAATCGGTTTGAGGAACGACTCTCCTGATTTGATTTTTTTTTTAAAGTAAAATCTTTCAAAGGCAAGGTGAATGGTATACAGTGATTACCAGAAAACAATGGAATAGCGAAGACGACATTATAGGAATTATAGGAATATAGTGTATTTGATGTTTTTACAAATCAAATAGTTTTAATAGACTCGCATAAAATCACTAATTAAATAAAATGGGTCTTTTTACACTGCGCAATTGCAGTTATAACTTAATTCTTAAAGTCGTTTGACTGGTTTTCACTGTAAATTATGAAATTAGTTCTTGATGTAAAAATAATTGTTTAGATTTTTAGATTGCATTTAGTTCAGTGATTTCAGAAAAAAGCTAAATATCAAGACACTTATTTAAATTCGAATTTGTTATTGTTTGAAAGAGAATATTTATCGTTTTGCTTCAGAGGCGAATACATGGGGTGGTTTGGGGGCTTAGCCCTCCCTGGTTAGTGAAATCTATCACTTTCAGAGTCCAATGGGGTTTCAGCCCCCCCTGGACTAATTCCAGTATATCGCCCCTGTAATAACCTGCTTATATATAAACTAAAAAGGGTAAATAGATGGATACTTTCAAGGGCAGTACTAAGCAGTTGGGAATCATTGATAGCACAAAATATCTTTTTTGCATCATTCGGTAAAAAATCATTATTCTAAAACTAATAATATTTGTTCACTTTTAAAGTATGTACTGCTCATTGCACATATCCGAAACACGTTATTATAGCTAATTCTGTTGGATAATTGTTTGTTCTTGTAAAATCGAAATGTTAATACCAAAAATCACTGATTGATTGATTGATAAACGTTTATTGCTATACGCTCTTTAGGCAGGCGTCTTAAATATTAACGTACAATATTGGCGAACAAATAAATTACTATGATAAAGGACAAAACAAAACAAAAAAGATAACATAACCAAAAATCTCTGTAAACTTGACAGAAGAGGTTTTTATTTCACACACAAGGATTAGAAAAGCATATTTATTCGGAATTACATATTTTATGTTTTGGACACGTTTGTTTGTCATAGAAGCTCTTCTATAGAAGAAGTTGAAAACAAACAAGATTTTAATCTCAAGTGCAATTTACTTATGTTTGACGTAAAATCCACCAAAGTTACTTGATATTATTCTGGAAACCGTTGAATGTACACAACTAATCAGATGTACACAGAGCTAGGAGAGAAGAGAGAAGAGAAAACAGGGGAAGATGTAGTCCCCATAAATTATTTTAAAATTTAAATTTAAAAAATGTTGAACACATTTTTATTAAAATATTGTTTCTGATGATTTTTAGAGAATATTTTTATCCCTGAATTCGAGGCTCTCTTATCCACCAACCTATGTTTTGCAGCCTCCATAAGTGTAAACAATATATGTACATGTGTGTATGTGTATATTCTATTTAATGCATAAAGGGTAAAAAAATAATTATAGCTATATTTTAGTTTTTAAACTTCAAATTCTATTCAAAATAATTACACATAACATAATATTTCACGTCAAGTCAACTATAATATTTCACGCGTGTGTGTGTTCTATATAATGCATGAAAGGATATATTAAAAGTATTATTATATCTATTTATATTTCTAGACTTAAAAGCCACTTTGCACTCATTTTTTATTTTAATTGTGAACATCTTCTCTTTGTACAGATACATTGTAAAACAAAAACAAAAAGGTTAGCGAATTTGAAAAAAATTTCCTGGATTTTCAAAATTTAATGTAGATCGAGATGTTGTTGGAGGCAAATTTTTCAAAGGCCTGATCGGTTCAGCCGTTTTGACGTTATTGGGTACAAACAAACAATGTTGTATCGACTTCTAAACATTTTATGATAATCTATATAGATAGAACAATAATCTCTGTTTTTTGTTCATAACTCAGGAACCCATTGACTGATTTGCCTAAAACTCGTTAGAATGACGGGAAAGCTACTTCTAAACATTTATCAATATTTAACTAAACAAGTTTAATTTTTCATTTCAAAAAATAGAAATAATAATATCAATGGCCCAATAATACCACAGCACACGCACACACCAATCTTCACTGTGATGTAAATTTTTCACCACTAAAGGAGACTTAGAAAGGAATTGAGAATTTGCCACAAAATCAAATTTTCTAATTCCTATATCTTTGCAACCTTTGGTGTAAACCTTTGATAATATTTCAAACTTAGATTATTCATAGTTTGAAATATCTGAGGTCTTATACTATATCGGGTTAAAAAGATAAAAAGATAAAAAGTAAAAAATCAGAGTTGTGACAAAGACTCAATTACTTTATTTGGTCCGGCCCCACCATTGATATAACCTTTTCTACACGTTAAGTTTTTGTAGCCCTAGAGATGATATTTCAATGTTGCAAAGCGATTGTTCTAGCCTCAATTTTGAAGGAACTTTGAAACATCCTGATCAATTTTTCCGCAAATCTATAAATAAATACTTTACTTTACTTGTCTGTCTGTCCGTTTGTATCCAATATACGTCAAAACGTCTGAACCGATCAGGCCCAAGTTTTGTGTGGGACCTCAATGACCCCAGGGAAGATTTATGGAACACCAAAATTTAAATAAAAACTCCTGGAAAATAGTTGGAATTTTTTTTTGAAAATGCGCCAATTCGAAAAGAAAAATCCGCCAACATTTGAAAATGGTTTAAAACGGCTGATTTCCAGAGCAACAGTTTAAATCTATAATTATTTACAGGAAGGGGGGGGGGGGGGGGCGCGAGGCACCCTACAAGACATCCCAGTATATATAACTCTGATTGTCTGTTTTTTGTTTTTGTCCAATAAACGTCGAACCAGCTGAACCGATCGAGCCCAACATTTTGGTTTAAAGATGACCAGGACTTCAAAAATGTCGACTTTTTAAAATCCCTTATAGTAAATCCCGTAAAACTGGAGGCCTTAAAAAGTAGCCTCATAATCATAGAGAATAGAATATATATTAGAGGGGAATTTAGAGAATCTCTCGGTATGAATTTTTTCAGTCCCTTTCAGCCAGAAAGGGAGTTCAAAGTGTACAAATCATGTGAATGTTCACAAATTATATGCAGTAGAGTATATGAATACAGTATGTTCCCTAGACTATTCATTTCAATTTCGAATTTTTTAAAGCTGTTAAATAAACTTTATTATGAATTAGGTGAATAAAAACATCATTTGATTTAAAGTTATAACGAAAAATCATCGTTTGTAAAGTGAAAGGCATAGAGTCTATGTGAAATGATCATTGGTCAATTATGAAACCATAATTTGGTTTTCTTTTAATATTAATTTTAGATTTTCAATATAATGATATTTCAGGGCCCAACAGGTTATATAGCATAAATATGTGAAGTACACCTGCAGTATGGAAACAGTTCAACAAAATGGCCGTTTTACACTTTTTTCTAGTAAATACCACTCTAATATATATTCTATTCTCTTTGCTCATAATATTTTATTTCGATCTACTTTGTAAGGATTGTAGTTTTTCAGTTGTTAAATGTATCAAAGTGTCCAAGAGGGTGCAATCCCCCCCCCCCGGATATGCCAAGGAGGGGGAGGGGCTGCAAAAGACTATCCCCATTCCAAAATACGTCGTTGATTCTACCCTCCAGAAACCGGTTTTAACGTCTATTTCCTTGATTTGGTCTAACTGTAAATATCTCTCTCTCCAGTTAATTGTATAAGCCTAAGGTATTATTGTAGAGTTCAGCAAGGTTCAGGTTTGACCTGAGATACCCAGGCCTAAAACCTACCCTGAGCCAAGTTCAGGGTTCCGGTGCCCAGAGTAAACTCAACCTTGGCGGCAATATACACAAATATACAAACCTAGATTATAGATAACAACTGGTCACAGGACGGAGGAATTAGACAGCTAACATCAGCTCTCTTCAGCCTTTGCATGAATAAGATGATACATTGTGCGTGTGCATTCATGTACATGGCATCAAACGTATGAAAATAAACCAACTTTTTCATAGAAAATAATGAACACAAAATACACCAAAAAACAAAGTACATTGACGAAAAATACTTTCCTTGGTTTAGCGTGCGCATTTGATGCTTCAAATATATATATGAATGAAATATATAAACACAGATGCGCCCATATAGAAAACGCATTATATCTAAAAGAACAATTTAAATTAACTCTCCAAATTTTAACAAAAAAAGATATATTAAAGAGGCAATCGGAAGAAGTACAAATTTCATCCCATTTGGAAATGAAATCGTATAATATATAATATCATTTAATGAAATAAGATTTTGATTTCTCCCTGAACGCACCTTTTTTGATACTGCATATAAAGAAAGCTATCATCAACGATTATATTATTTAGAAGAAAAAAAGACACAAGTACAAGTATCTATATGTAATATGTATGATTCCTTTAATCCGCGAAAAAAATGCCTTAATGGACAGATGAATATACAATAATACAGACGAACTGGCGTATCTTATATATACTTTGTCTGTCTGTCTGTTTGTTGCTTTGTTTGTTTGTTTATATTTAATAAACGTCAAAATGGCTGAACCGGTTGGGCCAAAATTTTGTGTGGGACCTCGCATGACCCCGGGGATGGTTTAAGGAATTACAAAAAGTTGCATCCAACAAAAGATTTAGATTTTTTTGTGAAAAATGCGCGAAAAAATATTTGAAATCCGCGAACTTTTTTAGGTATTGTTTTACACTGTACAAAGTAAAGAAGCTCACCGATAAAGCCACAATTAATAGTTCCTTGTATTTAATACATAAATACAATGAGGACGGTTTTAAATTTGAACTTCTTTATTTCTACCAAGCATTCATACACATTACCATACAAACAAAGAAAAGCTGCCAACTTACAGCTGCTCTTTGTTTACGTACTTGTAAACTGTTAACTTGAAAAAACTTTGCTAGAAATCAAAACTTAAATAGAAAACTCGTCTTTATTGTATTGATATAAACGCTAACCACTGTATGACCTTCTTGTTCTCTTGAGCCTCCCTTACGTTTAAAATTCAAATTACAAAGATGACAAATTCTGGTAATGGTCTGGTCTGGATGAGTGATATCTGTTGTATCCGACAGTTTAGTTCTTTTGGGGCTGGAATTATCTAAAAATTGAAATACTTAGGACATATACATTGGAAACAAATGTTAATTATAAGGATTAATATATTTTTCATCATATTACCTAAAATTGTTGTGGACTTTCTTTTTGTTCTGCACTGGGTCGATGGTTTGTTTTGATCTAATCTCTCCTGGGGCAAGGTTGGAGTTACTTGCATAATTGCAAAACTATGGATCTCAGGCTGTTGAATTTGCTCAACATCTGAGTTGACAGATCTCAGTGTCATCCTGGCAACCTGAGACTCAAACTTTAACTTTAAACATATTCCAAATATTTAAGTCCAATTTTAACCAAAAAGATTCTATGTAATTCAGCCTTGAAGTGGCAAAATCTCTACATTTTTTGGTTTTTAGTTGACTGGACACTTTTCTAATGTATATACGGATTGAGGGGGGAGGGGAGTAGTACGATACTGAACAATACCTTGAACTGTGTGTAACCTCTCAATATTAATATTGCACCCCTCCCAGTAACATGTTTCCCCTTTATACAGCTTCCTCCCACCCCTTACTATAACATATATGATATTATATATACTTTGCTTGTCTGTTTGTTTGTAACCGATCAACGTCAAAACTGCCGAACCATTCGGGCCCAAATTTCGGGACCTCACATGATCTCAGGGAAGGTTTATGGACCATTAAAGCTAAAAAATGCCGTTAAAAATTTTCGATTTTTCAAAATCCACGAAAAAAAATAAAAGATCAACCATGAAAAGTTAAAGATAAGTGATATATATCCACCCTTTTCACAATATCGGACAGTATATTTTTCGTTATTTAGCTACGTGTAGGGGGGGGGGGGGGGGGGGGGGGGGGGGGTGCATTTTGCGCGGTGTACATATGCTAAAAAGGCCAATGCTTAAGGTGCATATGTCGTAAAATATATGTCTGATGTCTATACTCTTATTATGCACATGTGAATTTTGACTATTCCTGGGTTTGCACAATCCGTCTGTATATTCCAGAAGTTCTTTGCAGCATTAAATTCCATAAATAAAACAAATACAGAGTTGAGCACACACCTAGTATATATAAGATACTGTAAAGATGACATTAAACTTAAAAAATATGACGATTCCAATTAACTCTTCTACCTGGAGTAATTAGTCTTCTAAAAGATAATTTAATGATGTGCCAAAGAAATATATGTCAGCTAGATATTTGATTCTCTTTTATTAAATTTGTTGTGTCAGAGTTTCAATAATATTTTTTTCTCCATATATCTCCAAAACTTATTATATAATATTTACTTGTAAATAATACTTTAGCGTCTTTGTGTGTGTGTGTGTGTTCGGGGAGAGAGAGAGAGATTTCATTTCTTGAATTTCTTTAATATCAAACGAGTGTAAAAAGTTCATGATTTATATAAAGCCAAGGTTGATGGGTATATTTTTGTATAAAATTTCGTGACATAATTTTCCATGTATGTCATGTGCAGTGCAGGGTACATCTCTTGACCTCATATTACGTATGTAGACGGGAGGAGGGGGTGTCAAGGAAAGAGGGTTAGTTTGACCTCGGTGGTGGGGGGGGGGGAGAGGGGCATAGTTTGACCTCGAGAGAAAAGTGAGGGTCGTAACCTCGTCCCGGAATATATCGAGACTGTTTAGAGGTGAAGGATAGGAATGACCTCGAACTATTTATCAGAAATATATAAATTTCTAAACAAAACTTACAATATACATGAAGAATAAATTTATTATATACACACATATATGTATGTTTTTTTGCATTAAAACTTATTAAAAATGTACCAAATCAAACAGCTGAATTTAAAATTTTTCATGATTTTTTTAGAATGATTTGGTTGATGGTTCCAGTTTATGTTACTGTGAATGTTTCGGAGAATTCATTAACTTTATTACGACCCACCTCTCTTTATTATATCTGTGCATTAAATGGACTCGTCTACATTTTGTACTTCGGAGTAGAAATGTCAGTCAAGTCATCAGCTAAGTGACATGGACGAGTTTATTCTATGTCGAACCAGGGGGAGGTAGGTAGTAGTACTGGGTAAAGAAGGTTGTAGTAGAAATAGAATAGTCCAATGAATATCCCAAGGGCTAGGTGGAATCCGCTCAACCGTGAAATATTTGGATTTACGTCATTAGCACAGCAGGGCATCCCTCAGGGGACAGGGGAATACACATAGCAGTTCAATAGTCAGGGGTGTAGAGATACAGTAATGTTAAAATGTAAAGTCTAAATAATTTTAAATTCTTTAACGTAATTCTAAGCTAGTTATAAATATAGTTTTGGTCCGATATATCTTAATTGATAAACATCTCTCTTAACTCCAATATCGAATTTTTATCAAAGTTTTTGTACGTGTACTTTTATTCAGACTGATTTACAGACATTTTAAATATTTCAAACTATAGGACTAGAGACTGACTTCCATTGCAGTGTAATTAAGAATAACTTAAAATATCGTCTTCAACATTGGACTTATTAACAAAATTCTCTTAAATATCGTCATCAACATTGGACTTATTAACAAAATTCTCTTAAATATCGTCTTCAACATTGGACTTATTAACAAAATTCTCTTAATAAAACACTAACTCTGGCCAGACTTTAAGTTTGAACAAATTAGCAGTCTTTAGACCACCAGGTAACTGAAGTGTAACAAACGTAATAATTAAATAAGAATAAATTATAATAAAACAGTTTGCTAGAATTAGCTTCAATGTCTGTAGCTAGGGGCTCCATATCCGGAAGAAGGTGCGCTATAAGAAGGTGCTCCATATTCAGCGGCAGGGGCTCCATATTCAGCAGCAGGGGCAGCATAAGAGGGTGCTCCATATTCAGCAGCAGGTGCTCCGTATTCAGCAGCGGGTTCTTCATATTGAACAGCAGGGGCTCCATATTCAGCAGCGGGTGCTCCATATTGAACAGCAGGGGCTCCATAACCGGCATCGTTTCCTCCTGCAACGGCGTTTGCAGCAGCGCTTACAATGGCTCCAGCAACAGCTCCTAAAAGTAAAAATAAAACGTTTACTATGAATCCATTTATGTTTTAAATAATAAATTTCAAAAATCTAAATTTCACTGTTGGGCACACGAACGATCATAATCTTATCATACAGTCATCGTCGTATACATCAATACATTGAAGCAGACTTTCAATTTCAGTTTTTAAAGCAGTCAATACAGCTACTTTGTTTACTTGTAAACTTGTAATTTGAAAACTGCGGGTCAGAAATCAAAACTTGAATAGAAAAGTCGTCTTCATTGTATTAGTTAAAACGCCAACCACTTTATAAAAAAAAAACAAATTGATATTGTTGAAATAAATAAAATTCTAACTTATAGCTAACAATTTCTACCGCAAAGGGTTGTAAACTTGTAATTAACAATACAACAAATGATGACGGTCTAAGTTGAAATTTTCGAGAAGAAAAATAATATGAAAAAATTACCCTTGATAAATCCCTTAACGATGATATATTTGGCTCCTATACCGGCAGCTACTGCAGCAGCCTACATACATATTCTATTATTGTTTTAAATATGAATATCATAAATCATTTTAGAAGATATTGTTATTGTTATTATGATTATCAAAAATGATTAATGTTGTCATTATTATTAATGTCGTTATTAATTTAATTAACTTTATTATTATAATTATCATCATTATTATAATTATCATTATTATTATAATTATAATTATTATTAATGTAATCATTATTATTATTATTGTTATCATTATTATTATCATTATTGTAACATTATTATTGTTAATATCATTATCATTATTATTATTGTAATCATTATTACCGCTGGAAGAGCTACAGCTCCAGCAACGGGAACGGCAACAGCAAGGACAGGGTCGAAGAGGGGAGCTGGGGCAGGGGCAGCCAAAGACATGGTTACCATGCACAGAGCAATAGAGGAGACCTAGAAAATAACAGGGGTTAATAATAGATAAAGAACAAATATATAAAATAAAGTAACCCTGCAACCTGCCTATGTCAAACATCAAAAAGTCCAGAATTATTTACCCGACAACTTCGCCATCGGAACTATATGTTTTAACTGTTTCCATTGAAAATTATATTCAAAAACATTTCGGAAACATTGACCTCGTATTATGATATTAGCAATATAATGTAGAATAATTGAGTTTGGATAGATATTAACCTTTACTTGTTAAATATGTTTAATAACAATGCATTGTTTTTTGTTGTATTTTGTACAATATATTTGAAGGATATTTGTTGGTTCCTTATCATGCATGAATTTAAAGGATATATGTTTGTTCGATATCATGCTTGAATTTGCAACAAAAACTTACTTTAACCATAATTACACCAATTACACTCAGGGTTTAATGAACTCCTATTTAAAACTCGATCTTCATGAAACAAGGCAAAACAAGACAAAATTAAAATGTTTTAATAAAGCACTTATTCATTCTCCCCCCATTTTTGTTTTGTAAACAACTTATCTGATTGTAGCTTATCAAGACAGATTAAATTTCCAATTTTTCAAATACGAGCATCAAACTTTCAACAATATAGAGAACCCGACTCATTCGAAACCTGACCCCCCCCCCTCTCCTCCCCCCTATTGCACCTGAGCCCTACTTTCGCCCCTTCGGACCCAGTCCCCAACCCTAATATGTATATACTGAACATGAAATTGACATAAATAAAACAAAAGAATTGAGAAAAAAGAACTAAAAGAAAAAGAACTGAGTGAAAAAATGTTTAAACAGTGAACAATTTCGTACGTTTTTTTGTAATGTTTTATTTATCTAAAGAATTTAAGGCTGCAATGCTTCTGGAATATTTGCCTTCTTGATAAAACATTTTTAAAATCCTTTTTATGACATTTTCCGGGTTATTTTGAAGAATGTGCAATGTGCATAGGTCCCGGCAATTTTGAAACACATTAAATATGTAGAATTTAAATAAATGAATACAGGGTTTTTCATCTTGTTTATCACAATCACCTTGGTGAAGAGCATGTTGTTGCTTGAACGGAGGACTGCTGTTGAATAATGGTTTAGTTTTAAACTATATACTTATATGTATAGAGAAGCCAATTTCAAGGCCAAGATACCGCTCACGAGAGAGCTCAAGATATGTTACGTCAAATAAGATTCCATCGATCTATCTATCTATGTGTATATCTACCTATCCATCTATCTATCTACCGATCCATCCGGACTCCGTAGCTACAAGCAGCTCCCTAAGCGGTCTGTGCCCTAAGGATAGAATCAACGACCAGTGTCGTTGATTGCTTGCATACTTTGCACTATCGTTGATTTAGGATGAGCCTAACAAAAGTTAAAGAATTTGTTCAGAAAAAGTAAAAAAATGTCATCAAATAATTTGTCAGAAAAAAATAAAAGGATCGATTTTATAAATAGTAAATGTCATATTTCAACGTTTCTCAGAACCATTTTTTAATATACGTTGGTAGGCGATTAAAGCAATATAATGAAGACGACTTTTTATTTAAGGTTTAGTTGTTAACAAGTTTTTTTTTTAAATTACTAGTTTACAAGTAATTAAAGAGAGAGGCTATATTAATGACAGCTTCTCTCTGTTTCCATGTTTTTTTTTGTATCCATACTGTTAAAAAGCTTGATATAAATCAAAATTAAAATCGAACGTCGTCTTCATTATAGTGATTTTATCGTTTACCGCCGTAAATGAATCAAAAAAATTTTTTTTTTAAATGTTACATGCATTTTTTGAAAAGTAAAGGCCTCGTTACTAAATATTTCTATTGACAATATTTTATTCTAATCTTCATGAGGTTTCATTATTTTCAAAAAATTTTAGATTTAAATGTATTTCTAATTGCTTAGTTTTCTATTCTCACTATCTATCTATCTATCTATCTATCTATCTATCTATCTATCTATCTATCTATCTATCTATCTATCTATCTATCTATCTATCTATCTATCTTTTTTATATCTATCTATCTATCTATCTATCTATCTATCTATCCTTCTATCTATCTAGCTTTTTTATATCTATCTATCGATTTAATTATCTACTTAATTATCTATCTTTCTATTTTTTTATCTACCTTTTAATCTTACTTCTTAAATAGATAATATTTTAATTTTGTTTCTACTTATATATCTATCTTTATCTCTTTTTGAGTATCTATTTAACGCGCATTCCTTGAAAATCAGTAAGATAAAATTTTTTTTATATTAAATAGCAGGCTGCAGTTCTCTGTTTTGTTTGATAAATTACTTAATATATAAATTATTCAATATCATACATGGTCCTTCTGTTTGTTATTATGTTTCTTATGAGACCTTGTATCTGGGATCACACATAAGATGAAAGAAATTAAGTCTTTGCCACCAACTCTGATCTTCTAATCCCTATATCTCTGCAACCCAATATAATAGACCATGTGACTATGAATTCTGTTAAATCATATATCTGTAGTAAACGCGCGCCTACTCCATAACAATTTCTCGAACCAGTATCTATACAGGTACAGTTCAGTTTCACTTAGCTATCAATGTTTAAACCCGGATACAATCTCATAAGCTATCGATATCAATTGGAAGCTCGTAACTATTAATGCCAAATCAAAGGACACGATCCACATGGCTACAATCCTGTGAACTATCATCGCCACCACCACTGTGGGGTGATATGTCAACCAGACAATAGCGATCCATTGATCAATGTCTCATACAAGACATGATCTCAATTCGTATGTTTCATCGAAACCTTAATTACTTTCAACACTGTAATCAAAACGGAGTTTCTGTATCAACCGTGGTATATTTCTTTAGTTTATATTATAACTAGAAATTCAAGGCGCTTCGTGCCCTTCTTTCTAGCCTTTGATTTTTCATAAACCTTCCCTGGGGTCCCTAGATGTCCCACAAAAAATTTGGGCCCGATCGGTTCAGCCGTTTTGACGTTTATTGGATACAAACAGACAGACAGACAAGCCAAATTTATATATAAATGATTTAAAATACAAAAGAACTAAATTTTGGTGGCAAAACTCACATATTTCATAATTTACGAAAAGGGATTAAAGGGTTTGGGACACGAGGAGAGATCATGGTTTAAAGGGAAATCTAGGGTTTAGGTATACAGGGTTACCCATCAAGGATGAGACCGTAAATACGACTTAAAACGTTTAAAACATGACGATCCCAAGTTTATGTTAAGTCTTCTGTCTTTCACTTGTGTTAAAATGGGCTATTTAATAATTAGACAAAAATAGAAAAAAGTTTAGAAGTGAATACATTGGGAAACAGACAATATAAAACTCCGTGTCTGTCTTAGACCTCAGATTTCTTTAACAATTAGTTCTATCAAATCAAAAAGCTTCCGTTTGAAAAATCAGAGGATTACAACATTCGGTTGCAAAGATAAAGGGATTAGAAAATTTGAGATTTCGATTGAACTAAGGTACAGTTAATATTTCTTATAGCAGTGTATTTATAACCCAGTTCGAAAGAAAGATATCAAAGCAAAGTTTAAATCACCGAGACTGCTCGCGTCTATGCATATTGCTAATTTACGCAAAGGGCGTATACAACATGGTGTGTGTGAACTGACCAATGATTCTTCCACGTGTAGATACACTCTCTCATCTACCATATTCATAAATACAACGGTTATAAACAGATAATTTTCTACAGCTCTTTAAGCCTTAAAACCAGTTCATAAATCAGCGTGACAATTATTTCAAGCCATCTTAGCATAAACCCAACTGACATTGTAATTTTTTTTTTGTTGTCTACGCATTTGAAGGGTTTGTACTTTTGGTTAAAATTACAGTTTTTCAGTTAATGTCTGAACTTGCCACAGACCGACACTGAGGGTTAGTCCGGCCCAGGGTATTACCGGGGTTTCATTCATATTTGTTCCTTCAATGTACTATACAGGGTTGCCAAAGAAAATGGAGGCTTCAATCTTTACAAGATTTAGCATTTTCAATATTTTAAACACTTCACAGAGAGTCCCACTAAATCAACATGACAATCAAATGGATAATTTCAAGTAACCCTAGCCTGCACAGAAATCAATGTCAGATTTACAACTTTGTCTGATCAAGTATGAGTTAGATATCCATGTTTTTGTTTCTTTAAACGGTTTATTTTCTTTTGCGGTTTCTTCAAAGTGCAGTGCCATAACCCTAGAGACACCAGGAAATCTTTTTTGTTTCCACTTGAATTTTTTGATTTTTTCGGGGGGAGGGGGAAATTCAAAATTTTTGCCCCTCCACCCATTAAATCCCATTTTAGATCATTTTAAGCAAACCTTAAAATCATTCATTCCTGTACGACCAAACTACCCAAAAACGGGTTTTTAGTCCGTTATGTGGTATTTGGATGACGACAGAATGTACACAGAAATATAATTTCAAATTAATATAAATGTAATAAAAATATGTTTGTTCTCAACTTTGTTTATTTTTCAAACTGAAACCTTGACAAGTTTTTAAAATTAGAAGAGTTTTTTATGCTGGATGATATGTATATATAGAAATTATAATTTAAAAAAACCTAATAAACATCGTTATGATTTTAATATCGGGATTGATAATAATAATTATACTAATTTGTAATAAATGATAGTTTTATCAATTGTACAACAAAACCACGAAAATACAGTTCGTCTTTTACACAGAACGCTTTTTAGTTCTAAACATAGATTTGAAGAAGACTATTTTATATTATGAAATCAGGTTTAGAAGAATTTACAAATGACAATTCCTTGATTAGAGACTGACCAGAGCAAGGGCTATCTCAGGCACATTATAAAAGTTGTTTGCAGTTTGCAATTTTAACCCTATTTACCCGGGGGACGCAATTTGACCCTCCCCCCTTATAGTTTTTTGCAATAACTCAAAAAGTATTTGAGTTAGGAAGCTCAAATTTTATGAATTTTCTAACCAACACATGCCCATCACTTAAGGCTAATAGCTGCCTGAGTCCTCAGGCATACTGCTTAAATGCTTTCTTTTCCCTATACCAAACAAAATCTATATTTAGACCTACTTCCAGTCATTGGATTTCAACATTTTATAGCTCTTTGGAAACAAATTTTTAACAGATTTTTGCACAGACACTTTTAAGGGGAATTTGCACATTTCTTGAATACACATTTAGGTTTTAAAAATTTTGAAAATGTTTTTGCAGATTTGAATTCGCTTTTCAAAAATGTATAATTTGTTGCATTTAGCGCAATTTTATCTTTCGCACAATTTTTGCTTAATAACTTATAGATTTCGCAATAAATATATGGATTTTTGTAAATTTGCATTTTCTTTGCAGATTATTGAAGCAGGCCCAAGAGCTTTCCTAAAACGTATCAAATGTTATAGATTTGTATCACAATAAGAAAAAAAAGGGGGGGGGGATCAATTTTACGTCAGAGCTCGAAATTTAAAAGAGTATCGTTAAACAAAACTCGGGAGTTTCCTTTTTGGGGTCTTAACATTTATGTAGATTTTTATTTAAGAAATTCGAAAAAAATGAAAAATATAATCAAACTGAAAAAAATAATATTTCATAACAAAAATATTGATATTCACAAAACTGCGTAACCCCATTCGTGAAACCAGGGTTTAAAAACTGGTTTCTTAACGATACCTTGTCTTAAGTTTTGGGCTCAGGGTAAATAGGATTAAACGTGTACAATGTACAGATGTACAAGTGTTCAAATATAAAAGTGTTCAGATGTACAATAGTTCAGGTGTACAAGTGTTCAGATGTACAATAGTTCAGGTGTACAAGTGTTCAGATGTACAATAGTTCAGGTGTACACGTGTTCAGATGTACAGGTGTTCAGATGTACAAGTGTTCAGATGTACACATGTTCAGATGATCAAGCGTTCAGATGTAATAGTGTTTAGATGTACTAGTGTTCAAATGTACAAGTGTTCAGATGGTCACGTGTTCTGATGATTAAGTGTTCAGATGTACACGTGTTCAGATATACACGTGTGCAGATGTACACGTGTTCAGATGTTCACGTGTTCAGATGTACACGTGTTCAGACGTACACGTGTTCAGATGTACACGTGTTCAGATGTACACATGTTCAGATGTCTACGTG